GAACATGACTCCATCTCAAAAAAAAAAAGTTGTAACAACAATTCAGGAACTCAGTTAATAGCCCAATTTTAGTTTCCAAAAAAGAAAAATACACGAATATACTTTGTACTTTTTTCAAAAGTATTTACTTTGTATATATTTGCTTAATATAATTTGTTAATATAATGAAATTATTTCAGAAAGTTTGAAGACAGAAAAAAATCACCTTTAATCCATGATCTTTTTTTTTTTCTTATTTTTTCAAACAGGGTCTAGCTCTGTCACCCAGGCTGAAATGCAGTGGCACAATCACGGCTCGCAGCCTTGATCTTCCAAGCTCAAGCAACTCTCCCACCTAAGCCTCCTGAGTAGCTAGGACTACAAGCATGCACCAACATGCCTGGCTAACTTTAGTATTTTTTTTTTTTGTAGAGACAGGGTTTTGCCATGTTGCCCAGGCTGGTCTTGAACTCCTAGGCTCAAGCCAATTGCCTACCTCGGCCTCCCAAAGTGCTGGCACTACAGGTGTGAGCCACCTGGCCCATGATCTTATTGGTAGACATAGTTTACACAGTTACAGTAATAATGGCCATAACATTTTATATACAACTCTCCCTACGCTTGTAACAGGTATTTTCCATACTCCATATGTATCACTTTATATGTATCGTATTTACATGTCTTTATATGTATCACTTTAAATATCTACTTAACATTCTAATGAGTGCATCGGTATATAATAATACGTCACTTAAAGAGTACATTCTGAAAAATGAGTCCTTAGAAAATTTCATCCTTGTATAAACATCATAGAGTGTACATACACAAACCTAGATGGTACAGGCCAGGGGTCCCCAATCCCTGAGCTGACGAACAGTTCGGGTCTGTGGCCTGTTAGGAACCGGTGGTACAGTAGGAGGTGAGTACAGGCAAGGAAGCATTACTGCTTGAGCTCTGCCTCCTGTCAGATCAGCAGCCGCATTAGATTCTCATAGGAGCACAAACCCTACCATAAACTACGCATGCGAGGGATCTAGGTTGCACGCTCCTTATGAGAATCTAACTCATGCCTGATGATCTGAGGTGGAACAGTTTCATCCTGAAACCATCCCCTACATAAATAGGATATACGGTATAACATATTTTTCTTAGGCTACAAGCCTGTATGGTGACTGTACTGAATGCTGGAGGTAACTGTAACACAATGCTAAGTATTTATATGTACCTAAACAGAAAAGGTACAGTAAAAATACAGTACTATCATCTTATGAGGCTGGGCACAGTGGCTCACCCGTGTAATCTCAGCACTTTGGGAGGCTGAGGCAGGTGGATTACCTGAGGTCAGGAGTTCAAGACCAGCCTGGGCAACATGGTGAAACCCCGTCTCTACTAAAATTACAAAATTTAGCTGGGCAGGGTGGCACACATGTATCCCAGCTACTCAGGAGGCCGAGGCATGAGAATCGCTTGAACACTGGAGGCTGAAGTTGCAGTGAGATGAGATCACACCACTGCACTCCTGCATGGGTGACAGGGAGACCCCGTCTCAAAAAAATAAAAATAAATAATCTTATGGGACCAGTATCGTATAATGCAGGCCACTGTTAACCAAAATATTGTTATGGAGCACATGACTGTATTTGTGTGTGTGTGTGTGTGTGTGTGTGTGTGTGTACATACATATATATGAAAAATACTAGAAGGATAAAAATAATAATTGTTATTTTTATTAGGGGATTAATAAAGTAGAGGAAGTAGGGTTAGAGAGAGTTCTCTCTGTATACATTTTCATACATTCTGACCTACCATGCTACTTTTTTAAACTAAAAATTGATTAAAAAACTTAAAATGTAAGTAAAGTACTTAATAATGCTAAATAATAGGTAGATTTAAATGAGAAGTCAGAAATCATTTGGCCCAACCTCCAATGCAATGTAGGAATCTCTTTAATGTTTATGTTTTCTCAGCATTTTAGAAAAAAGATGTAGCCAAATTTACTATCAGTAAATAGGAGAGTGGTATGAGACAATTCAGAGAAGCTGCTTGTTATATCTCAACCATTCCTGAAAAAAATCAGTGAATTAAAGCACAAAGGCTGATTAATTCCAGCAAATACATGCTGAGTCCCTGTTGTTTGCTGTATTCTGAGAATGTGAAAGATGATTCTCAAAGAATAAGAGGAGTTCCTATGCTCAAGAAATTTGAGGCAAGACCATTTGCTAAGCTTTAAGTATTCAGAAATGAAAAAGGTATCACTGGAATATAGGTTATTAATATATACAGAGAAACCTTTGTGGGGGCAGAAAAAGAAGAGGGAAAATTATGACTGTGAAGGGATGGAGAAGAGGCTAAAAGGATAATCAATAAATGACACTGTGTTTTTGAGGTTTTTTTTTTTTTTTTTTAGACAGAGTCTCACACTGTCGTCCGGGTTGGAGTGAAGTGTTGCCATCTCGGCTCACTGCAACCTCTGCTTCCCAGGTTCAAGCAATTCTCCTGCCTCAGCCTCCCGAGTAGCTGGGATTACAGGCGCCCACCACCACAGCCAGAAAATTTTTTGTATTTTTAGTAGAGACGAGGTTTCACTATGTTGGCCAGGCTGGTCTTGAACTCTTGACCCTGTGATCCACCCACCTTGCCCTCCCAAAGTACTGGAATTACAGGCATGAGCCACCGTGCCCAGCCGAGGTTTCTTTTAATATTACTACTTTGGAATACAAATTAAAGCTTTAATTATGTGAAAGACTGCATTATTCAACAATAACTGATAAACGTGACCTGATTAAGATGTTTATACTAATACAGGCTATAAGTTCAAATATTCTTTAAATAATGTAAAGAGATTTTATTTATCTAGAATTTTATTTCATATGTACATGTTAAAAGACAGACCTACTAGTCAGCTTATAAATGTAAATATATGTAAAAAAAAGAGGCCGGGCGTGGTGGCTCACACCTGTAATCCCAGCACTTTGGGAGGCTGAGGCAGGTGGATCACCTGAGGTCAGGAGTTCAAGACCATGGCCAACATGTTGAAACCCTGTCTCTACTAAAAATACAAAAAATTAGCCAGGCGTGGTGGCAGGTTCCTGTAATCCCAGCTACTCGGGAGGCTGAGGCAGGAGAATCACTTGAACCCAAGAGGCAGAGGTTGTAGTGAGCCAAGATCACAGCACTGCACTCCAGCCTGGGCAACAAGAGTGAAACTCCATCTCAAAAAATAAAACAAGAAAGGAAAACCTTTCAGAGAAATCTGAAAGAACAGTTCCATCATACATACTGAATTACTAGAAGAGATGATATGCCCCAATTTTTCTATAATTAAAACATTGACTTGTTGACAAAACAGTCAAAATCTTGAGTTAAAAGATTATCCTGATTGTATGAAAGTTTAAAAGCCCATAAAGCAAACTAAATAGATTAACTTGTTAAAAAGCACTCAAGACTAACATGTTATTCTAATAAACAGCATGTGGTATATTATTTGAGGACATTTTGCATGTCCTCAAAAAGGCAATCTGTAACAGACAACCACAAACTGTGCTAAAGCATTAAAGCCTTTTTCAAAGTATATTCCTAATGCAGAAATCTAGAACAAATGGGCTGCAAAAGAATATGTAAAATAAAAGGAATTCCACCAGTTACTATAGCGTGGTAATTATAAAACCTAACGCCCATAGAAAAACAATGCCAGGATGATCACTAACAGTTATTTTTAAAACGTTAATCTGTCTTCACAACATTGTTATCACTCCTCAAAAATTCATATAATTGGGCCTTCTTTAAAAACCCTAAAGCCACTCTGTATCTTCCCAATAAGCCATCCAATGACCTTTAGAGAACCTCTCAACCATCAGTCATAGTGTTACATTCCTTTACCTCAAGATCATATTCACCTCGTCCCTAAAACTAGACGTAAGAATCCTAATTCTCTTGGTATAAGTCTTTCGCAATGTTTAAAAAAAAGAACTCAAAATATACGTAAAACCCTTATAAGCACTCCAACTAAGCAGACAGTATTACTCGCATTTGACAAATGTAAAAACAGAAATCTACTGCATAACAGCATAACCCTAGCAGTTGAGAGTAATAAATCTACACTCACTCTGATTACTCAACTGGAATTAAAACTAATTCTTTTCGGTATCCTACATTTTAAGAAATGTATTAAAAAGGCAATAAAACCTCATCAAAAGCCAAAATATACTGCATATTTCTAAATATCACACTATTCTGCAATATTTTAACGCAGAAGCCACAGAGATTGAAGCTTAAAAAAAATGAGAATCCTTAAGAATGAAACTAGGGGCTGGGCACGGTGGCTCACCTCTGTAATCCCAGCACTTTGGAAGGCCAAAGATGGTGGATCACTTGAGGTCAGGAGTTGGAGACCAGCCTGGCCAACATGGTGAAACCCTGTCTCTACTCAAAATACAAAAATTAGCTGGGCGAGGTGGCAGGCGCCTATAATCCCAGCTATTCGGGAGGCTGAGTCAGGAGAATCACTTGAACTGGGAAGGTGGTGGTTGCAGTAAGCCAAGATCACGCCACTACACTCCAGCCTGGGTGACAGAGCAACTCTATCTCAAAAAAAAAAAAAAAAAAAAAAAAGAAAAAGAACACTAAAGAAAAAAAAAAAAAAAAAAGGCAATAAAGGGGGGGGGGGGGGGGGGGGGGGGGGGGGGGCAGAGAGATCTCAAAAAAAAAAAAAAAAAAAGAATGAAACTAAAGAATATTGGCCACAATTAAGACACAACAAGCAATATTGTACTACAGGTACTACAAACAAGTATTTTAATGGCTCAAAGTTTTTTTTCAACTTCTGAAACAATCTAAATGTTGCAAAAGCTTCTTTCTAATGCTCTCAGACTAAGCTTGTTTTTTTCTTGTGGATCAGTAAAACACAAAGAGGAGTTGTTGGTAATGGGGTTCAAACCACAGAACATTCTAATGGAAAACAGACTACTACTGAGGAAAAATCAGACTACAGTTTAATTTCATAATATAAGATATTTACATACCAGCACAGAATATCCCTGGGACTTCACTCCTGATTATTATGGTCCGTACTTTCTTATCAGATTTCAAAGCATCCACAGCTTTTGATAGCTAAACAGAAATAGGAAGCATATGAGGGAAAAGAGAAAAATAAAATTTTACATTGATGACAATAATGTATCTTAATATTAGAAGCAAACAGTTTAATCTTTACACTCACCATTTTTATAAGATTTTTACTGAGTGCATTTTTGCCATAAGCTCTGTTTATTCCAAGCACCACAATTCCTAGTTAAAGGGGAAAAAAAGTACAAGCACTTGAGTGAGCGAGGCATTCAGAGAACAGATTCTACATCACACATCTAGCTAACTTCGAACTTAACAAATCAAAGAAATTCAGGATATCACATTCCTTTCCATTGATCTCTTCTTAAGCACCAAGGTAATTTGCAACATTTTGGTAAATTTTATATCCCTAACTCAAACTAGAGGGAAGACCACACTTACCGGTGAAAATTTTAAGTTAAAGGATACTATTTAAAATGTGGTTTCATCATCTTCAAGTAGATACAGAAGTAACAGCTAATAAACCTTGTTACATGCAGGTATTACAGCATCTGCTTTTTCTAGGATGCCAGTTCTAAATATCTCAATTTTTTTTTTTTTTTGTTCATACTACATAGTTTTCAGTAATTCTATGCCAGGTTTCTCTCCTGATTTCTGTCTGATACACTTAACCAGAGGGCACTTCCATTTAGATGTCCAACAAGTACTTTCAACTCAACCTATATAAAACAAAGTTCATTATCTCTCCCACAAACCCAGCTGTCACTCCTAACTGCCCCATTTTTTAAACCAAAAACCATCATCTAAACCCAGCCTCCCATTCCTTCCAGTTACCAATTTTCTAAAAACAATACTAAGCATAGAATTCACCCCCTACTTAAAATCCTTTCATTATTTATTTCAAAATATGCAACTTCAAAGATCTTAATTTGATATTCAAAGTTCTGCACAACCTCTACTAACCTTCTTGTTCCTGGAGTAGACAAATTTTCACTGTGTATCAGAAATACCTTCCACTGAGTCAGGGTGGGTATGGTTCTTGTTTGCAACTGAGTTAAACTGAAGACAACAAAATGTACACATGCCTTCGCTGTGCAAGAAACTGTGCAGAATCATTTTTTAAAGTATAAAAATGAACTTCTGCTCACAAAAGAGTAAATCTGCAAGAATGCCAAATGCTCTCAGTACAGAGAAAAGCATGAAGGACTGCTATCTGACAGGATCTGTATTAAAAAGCTGCATGACTTTAGGGAGGTCCCAATACTACTGACAACAGCTACCACCGGTAGGCCTCAGGCACTGCTCCAGCTGCTTTAAGCGAATTAACTCACATAATCCCCAACACAACCCAAGAGGTGGGCACTATTTTTATCCTTAGTTAACAGATAAAGAAATGGAGACTTGGAGAGGTGAAGTAACTTCCTTCAGCTATTAAGTGCTAATCTAACTCTGTATTTGAATAAAACTGTGTTACACTGTTCAAGCTTCAGTTTCCTCAGGAAGAAAATCAAGCAGCTAAGACTAGATGTGTCCATTCATTCAAACATACTGAGGATGTACTATACTGATCAGCAGCCAAGGAACTAGAGTCTAGGAGAGAAATACAAACATTAATAATCACAGAAATCATTAATAACCATAAATGTCATTAATAACGAATTCAAACTGCTTTACAAGCTTTAAGTGGTGCCACAGTAACTTGTAACCAGAACTGATAATGGTCTAGGGCAAAAGGAGATGGATAGGGAAAGCTTACCCCAGACAGTGGAGGTTAGAAGGATGAGTAGGAGTTAAGGTGAGAGGGAAGGAGAGGGGCTGACTGCCAGGCAGAGAAAACAGGAAAAGCATAAACTAGTCACGGTCCCACTGAATGTCCTGTCACCTACAAGGCGAAGAGAGTGACCAATGAAAGTAAACAGGTGAGCACAGGCCAGAAATATCCTTACAGACCTGCTGAAAAGTCTGTTCTTCATCCTAAGAACCACTGAAGGAGTTTACGTAGGTATAAACATACACACATGCACATATAAAACTGGAGGGGGAACAGTTTCTATATTTGAAGATCATACCAGAAGTAGATAGGGGGTGGGAGCTTCAAGACACACCTGGAGTCCAATCAACAGATAACAGGTCTGGCTGAGATAGGCAGTGGTAGAAATAAAGGAAAGTGAAAGGATTCAAGAACCATTCAAAATTTTAAATGAGTTAATGATGCCTAGACAGAGGACTGATTTAACTGGAAGAAAGTGTTAAGGAGTATTAACCAGGTTTCTGGCTTCAGCAATTGGATGAAAGAAGATGACATTTAATGAGACAAAATCATAAAAAAATACCGTGGTGAGGGTGGAGGGGAGTAAAGCTCATGAGTTCTGTTTTAAATTAAAGTGAATCTGAAGTGCCTTTCAGACATCCAAGCTGACACCACTTCCAAGGGCTAAGAATGCAGGCTCTAAGGTGTGATTGCTGGGGATGAAATCCCAGTCTGCCGCTTACTAGCTATTGGGCAAGTTACTTAACCTCTCTGATCCTCAGTTTCTTACTCTATGAAGATACTAACAGTTCCACACTCCATGGGACTGTATTAGAATCAAATGATATGATAGATGTAAAACTTACAACATGAGCACCCAATTATCCTCCCTTCTAGCATGAACACTTCTCATGCAATAAGTATTAAAGTTTCACCATAATTTCTGCTAGATAGGATACTGCTAACATTATTACTGAACTGTAAAGTGCCATGAAAATGTTTCTATCACAGTCAATTCCAGCAGTTTTGGTCACATATTTGAGAATTGATGTTTTGAGTACTTCCACTTCAAAAAGCTAGAAATCAGTTCTGCAATCTGAAATGAAGTATCTAATATGTAACAACTGTACCATCAAATGTATCTGTAGGCTTTTGGTACTCTAAAATGGAATAAAACCTTAGCTTTTATTCAGCAAAGTCTAAACTTTTTTGTTTTATAACTGTCTCACTTTAATTCACAACTCAATCACTTCTCAAGAACTCAATTATCATGTATCCTCCTCACATAACCTAGACAAAAGTTTACCAACTCAGAAAAGCTTAGGCATTCACATGCCAACCTTAATTTTCCTGACTTTTCACAAAACATACAAAAATCTTCAGTGAATCTGTAACAAGGTCACATCACAGCATTAATCCTGCTCTATAAAGCTCACACAACTGAAAGACGAATGTAACAACTTTGCTGAGACTTTAAAAAGAAACAGAAATACATTTTGCTTAAACAAAATTGAAAAAACACACTCAAAGTGAAAGTCCTCCTTCCCTAGAATCAACTCATTCCCCTCCCCAGAGGAAGCCACAGTTATCACAGTTACATGTAATGTAACCTTCCAGAAAATGTTCAACATATTTACATACAGAAACAGAGTTGTATATTACCACTTGGCTTGTTGTTGCTATTTTACATAAATGGATCATATGTTCTGTTGGTGCTATTCTACATAAATAGGTTCATACATATTTCTTTCTTTTTTTTTTTTTAAAGAGACAAGGTCTTGTTGTGTCACCCAGACTGGAGTGCAGCGGCTCCATCACAGCTCACTGCAGCCTCAAAGTCCTGGGCTCAAGTAATCCTCCCGTCTCAGCCTCCTGAGTAACTGGGACTACAGGCAGGCGCTACCACGCCCAGCTGGATTCACCAATTTTCTGAACTAAAGTTGAGTTAATTAACTAAAGTTCTCAATGAAACTCAACTAAAGGTCTCAATGGAGCTAGAGACCATTATTTTACACATGAAGTAATTCAGGAATGGAAAACCAAACACCATAAGTTCTCACTTAGAACTGGGAGCTGAGCTATGGGTACACCAAGGCAAAACAGTGATGTAACAGACATTGGAGAGTCATAAGGGGGCAGGGTGGGAAGGTTGAGGGATTTTAAAAAACTACATATTGGGTACAATGTACACTACTCCAGTGATAGGTACACTAAAATCTGAGACTTGACTACCAGACAATTCATCCACTTGTAACCAAAAACCACTTGTACCCCAAAAGCTACTAAAATAAAATAAACAAGGGCATTACATGATAAAAACGGGGTCATTTATCCAATAAGACATAATAATCCTAAATATGTATGCACCAAACAATAGTACATCAAATTATGTGAGTTAAAAACTGATAGTGCAAGGAGAAACAAATCTACTATTATAGTTGCAGATTTTAACTTACTTCTATCAGTAATTGACAGATCCAACAGGCAGAAAATCGTAAGAGTATAGTTGCATTGAGCACCACCATCAATCAACTAGATCTAACTGAACAGTAGAGCCAACTGCATATAAAATTCTTTATTTGCAAAAGGCACAATTTTGTACATAGAAAATAGTAAGAAATCCACTTAAAAAAAAACTATTAGGAACAAACTAACAAGTTCAGCAAAGTTGTATGATACAAGCCAATATACAAAAACCAATTTATTTTGTAATTTCTATACAATAGCAATGAGCAATCTGAAAGTGAAATTAAGAAAAATCTATTTAAATTCAAAAAGAATATTTTGGGATAAATTTAACTAAAGTAGTGTAAAACCTATATACTGTAGACTGAAAACTACAAAACACTGTTGAATAGAAAAATATATCATGATCATGGATTGAAAAAATTAACACTGTTAAGATGGCAATACTCCCCAAATTAATCTACCTATTCAACACAATCCCTATCAAAATCCCAACTTTTTTTGCAGAAATTCACAAGCTGATCCTAAAATTCACGTGGTAATACAAGAGTTCCATAATAGCCAAAACACTCCTGAAAAAGAACAAAGTTGGAGAAGTCATGCTATCCAATTTCAAATTTCACTACACAGCTATAGTAATCAGTTTGGTACTAGCATAAGGATAGATACATAGATCAATGGAATAGACTTGAATATCCAGAAGTAATCCCTTATATTTACGGTCAATTAATTTTCAAAAAGGGTACCAAGACAACTCAACGGTGAAAGACTCATCTTTCCACAAATGGTGCTGAGACAACTACATAGCCACAAGTAAAGGAATGAAGTTAGACCTCTTACTACACACCATATATAAAAATTAACTCAAAATTGGATCATAGTCACAGATGAACATAACAGTGAAAACCATAAAACTCACACAAGAAAACATAAGTGTAAACCTTTGTAAACTTGGGTTAGGCAACAGTTTCTTAGATATAATCTAAGGCATAGCTACAAAAAGAACAAATAGAGAAATTGAACTACATGAAAATTAAAAACACTAGTTCTTCAAAATATACCATCAAGAAAGTCAAAAGACAACCCAGAGAATGGGAGAAAATATTTGCAAACTATCCATCTGACAAGAGACTTGTATCCAGTCTCAACAATAAAAAGACAACTCTCATGCCTCAACAATAAAAAGATAATCCAATTTAAAAAGTGGCAAAGAGGCCAGGCGCAGTGGCTCACACCTGTAATCCCAGCACTCTGGGAGGCTGAGGCAGGCAGATCACGAGGTCAAGAGATCAAGACCATCCTGGCCAACACAGTGAAACCCTTAGCTAGGCATGGTGGCGGGCGCCGTGCGGGCGCCTGTAATCCCAGCTACTTAGGAGGCTGAGGCAGGACAATCCCTTGAACCCGGCAGGCGGAGTTTGCAGTGTGCCGAGATCGCACCACTGCACTCCAGTCTGGGAGACAGAGTGAGATTGTCTCAAAAAAAATTTTTTTAAATAAAAAATAAAATAAAAAAGTGGCAAAGGATATGAGTAGACATTTCTCCAAATGTATGCACATGGCCAATATGTACATGAAAAAATGTTCCAACAGGGAGTTGAACCTGATCTCAAGCTCTCCTACAACAGAGCCCCATCATGGTAGTCCTTTTGAATAGTATTCCTCAACATCTTTTAAAAAAGAAAAAAAAAAAAAAAGATGTACAACATCACTAGCCATGAGGGAAAACCAAATCAAATCACAAAAACTTACCATTTCCCACCCACTAGGGTGGCTAATAAAAGAACAATACCACGTGTTGCCAAGATGTGGAGAAACTGGAGCTCTCATGCTTTGCTAGTGAGCATATAAAATGCAGACGCTTTAGAAAACAGTTTAGCAGTTCCACAAAATGTTAATCATTGAATTACCATAGGACCCAGCAATCCCACTCCTATGTGAAAATATAAAGATGACCACAAAAGCTTATACTAATATATGAATGTTCTAAGCAGCATGGTTCACATTATCCAAAAAATGGAAACAATCCAAATATACATCAGTAACGAATAGACAAACAAAATGCGGTATATCCATACAATGAATATTACTTGGCCATTAAAAGCATAGAAGTGCTAGTTCAAGCTACAACAAGGATGAGCCTTGAAAATATAATGATACGGGAAGGAAGCCACAAAAACACCACTTATTATACAATTCTTTTATAGACAAATCTATTGATACAAAAAGTAGATAAATGAAGGTTTTTTTAAGGCTGGAGGGATAAGGGGGGGAGTAGGCAGTGACTGCTAAAGACTACAGGGTTTATTTTTGAGTTGATAAATGTTCTAAAATTGGCTTGTATTGACAAAGCATAACTGTGAATATACTAAAAACAACTGTACATTTTGAATTTTATGGTATATGATTTAAATCTCAATGTAGATGAGATTAAATCTTAATCTTAAAGATTTAAAAATACATACACTGTATCTCAATACATATATTTACTGAGATATAATTTACATACCATAAAATATATAAAAATATTATTTTTTAAACATGAAAAAAAACATATGAAAGGAATCAACTTGTTAAATAAGAAAAGGCAGTAGATACAGAAAGACCTGCTACCTCTGCTGCAGTCCACTTGACAAGCTTGGACAAGGATGCTGTGGGTAAAGAAGCACATGGAAAGGTTTCAGACACGGGAAGACCGGATGACAATCTAGATGGGAAAGAGGAGGAAGAAGCAGGTATCAAGGAGGATCTGCACTATGCAAGTGCTTGTTTGCTCTATTTCTGCCAGAAGCTGTTCTGACATGGTTCACAAAGATGATCTTGAAATGGTTCATAATTATGCCAAATTGCAGGAAGGCTGGTAGGGGAAGGGGAGGAGTCATTCCAGAAAGTGTGTGCAAAAGCTACACACAGAAAAGAACAGGAAAAGGCAGAGCTCAGGTCCAGTGGCAGAGAGATAGACTATGAGACGTCTGACGGATAAGAAGGCCCTGCAGGCAACGGCGAGCCTTTGGAGGTGTTTAACTGAGCAGATTCATGGTTTTTGGCCTTGAAAAAAAGGTAACTCCATTACCCCTGGGACAAGAAAGTGGGAAAGAGAACGCTTGGAAACCAGGTGACCTATGAAGAAGGCTGTTGCAGGAGAGACCTCTGTAAGCCATGACCAGGACTCCTGCTCTAAAACTGAGTAGGATGGACAACAATGCAGAAATAACCACTAAAGAAATTTGGTGTTCAGGCGCAGTGGCTCACGCCTGTAATCCTAACACTTTGGGAGGCCGAGACGTGTGGATCACCTGAGGTCAGAAGTTCAAGACCAACCTGGCCAACATGGCAAAACCCCATCTCTACTAAAAATACAAAAAAATTAGCCAGACGTGGTGGCGGGCACCTGTAATCCCAGCTACTCGGGAGGCTGAGACAGGAGTATCGCTTGAACTCGGGAGGCAGAGGTTGCAGTGAGCTGAGATTCCACCATTGTACTCCAGCCTGGGCGACAAGAGTGAAGCTCCATCTCAAAAAAAAAAAAAAAGAAAGAAAGAAAGAAAAGAAAAGGAAATTGGGTTGTAGAGCTATGCCTCCCACAACAAATTACAAATGTGGAGCCCAGATAACAGATGGGACCTGGTGTATTCCGCACTACGTGCCCCCACCCACCTAAAGTGCTGCATGCTGTTCGGAGTTTCTGTGACTAGGAGAGTTATCCTATTCCTTAGAGGCTGCTGAGAGCACCAAATTTTGGACCCATCTCAAAGAGAAACAAAGGCACCCAGGAAACTCCTTCACCTGTGGTACCCTTGACCTGTTTTTCTTTGCACTGCTTATTGCTGGTTCAACAGTAAAGCAAAGCAAAGCATAAGTAATGTTAGCCAAGCCTGAGTCGTCATTCTTGCCAATTCTCAAAGGAGGCGGGGTCAACTTTAAGAAACCATGATGTATGTCCTATCTCATCAGGAAATGAAGGCTAAAGAAAAAAAAAGAAACCAGGACGTCCGAAAAACATCTTCGTGTATTATCTTTTATCTGATATTCTCTCTTCAAATCCTAACTTAAAGTCTTTCCAGACATTTTGCACAAATATTCCTTTAATTGCATTCAAGTCATAATGACCAAAATAATAGAATATGATGCATATTAGTAGCTGTACTTGCAATCCCTTTATATCTAACATATTGTTGGTACACTTAATGGAAGTGAAGTCCCAGCATGACTAAGCTTACCCAAAAGATGGGTGGCATTCAGGCTCTAATCACCCCAGTGCCAGTCTAGGCTTCCAGCTGAATTTCTTACTATTCTGCTTATGCCACACTACTGCCACACTTGCCTTATGTTACGTCCCAAATACACCACACATGTTCACATCTCCATGCTTTTGACCATGTTCTTGTCTCTGTCTGGAATAATAAGTAAGGAATAAAGTAATTCATCAAACTCCTGAAGCACTGCTATGGGCTAGTGGCAATTTATATTAACGATCTCATCTCACCTTCATAACAAACCTATAAAGTTGGTATTATTTTTCCTGTTTTACACGTGACATAAGTCTGCCCAAGAACCCTCACAAATGGCGAAATCCACTGCCTATTAAAGAATGCCTTGGAACCCCTTTCATATGGCGAAACCCTGCAGGTATTACAGCCCTTTCCTCCTACCATGCCTTGAAAGTTCACACAGCCTAATAATCAGGATCTGCTTCACTATACTAAAAGCAATCATGACTTACACGCTTTTCACTTCTGCTTAACAGATTATAGGTGCTCAACAAATGCATGTCAAAATTAAAAGACTGGTCCTCTGGCTTAACCCGGGTAAACTGCCGTTCCACCCTTCACGACCCTTTTAGCTTTTCCCTGCACTGGCAGCGAAAGGAACTGAGCTTTAACAGTATTCCCTAGAAATGTCAGCCTCCTTCAAAGCCTTCAACCCTCTGTATTGTATTGCTAATGATGTCTCCTCCCGCAGTAGGTAGGTAGCTCAAGGGCAAGATCCATACCACCCACATTCTTATCGCCCGAGCTGAGGAAAATAAAAAGTGCTCAAAATTGTTTAAATGCAGTGGAACAGTCCCTCAAGACTAACTTTCTAGGAGAAAATGAACAAGAAGAAAAATTGTTCCAGCTGAGCAGCTTCAAATTTAAGACTCTCCGTAATAATAAAAGGCAGTTTCACTGCAGCTTTTACAACTCCACCACTAATAGCTGAGTTTACAGAAAGCCATTACACAGCAAGAATAAAGCCTGGTAGCAAGGATTAAATACCCAGGGTATATATTGACCTTGGCTTGTCTGGAGCGGAGGGCGTAAGCTGCACTTCTGTTTGCCGCGCTGAATGCGGTCACTTTACAGGTAAGCTGCTCTGGAGTACACGTTTAGGTTATTAAAAGCAAGAAATAGGTGCACAAGGAAACTGCCACGCTGGGTGAGGGGGGAGGTGAGGGAGGGGAGGGACGGTGCGCCTGCCCGACCTCGACCCCGCGTCCAGCCGGCGGACTGCACCTTTTGCCCGTCCTGAGGGCGAGCGGCCGCCCGCTGCCCCGCGCCTGCCCCGCGTTCGCACCTCACCTCGGTTCTCCTCCTCCAGGTGCCGCACCCGCAGCTCGTCCTCGTTCTTCATCTCAGAGCTGTAGCCCCTTTTCGGGGCGGGACCACCGGCTGCAGGCACCCAGCCCTGAGCCCAGATCGCCGGGCCCACCCGCCGGCCTGCCAACGAGCTGGGCAGCCTCAATCCCGGGCACAGCCGCGCACTGCAAGCGGCCACCAGGCGAGCACCGCCAGCATGCAGGGCGCCCAAGGCCCCAGGTGCCGCCGCCACCGCGGCCGCCATGTTGTCTGTTTACGGCGTGGGCCTGCGACTGCCGCTCCGCCCCCGCCCGGCGCCGACCTGCAGCGCGCACGCGCACGGCGTCCCGACCCGCAGCCTCGCTCCGGCCTGGCCCCGCCCTCCGGAGCCGTGTTCCCGCCCCTCACCGCCCCGCCGAGGCACCGTGACCCGAGGCCTTGCCCCATTTTCCGCGCGAGGTTGGATGGTTTGTCCAACACAGAAGGAAAGAAAGTAGTGTCCGAGGCTATGGAATAGTTCAGGGAAGCCTCTTCTATAAGAACTATCCGGAGGGAATTGTCTCCCCGTACTCCCTGGACCAAGCCCTGCTGTCCTGTAAGTAAGGTGCAAAAGTGAACAAAAAAAGTTTTGTCTCCTCCAGTTGGCTGAAAGTGAGGCAGCCCGTCGTGGGACACTGCCTTACTTATGGATCTCAGGTTGTCGGTTCTAATTGGTGGGTTTAGAGCAAGCAGGCACAAGATCCATGGAGTCACCCTGTCGCTGTGAGATGGTCACCGGAGCCCATCTACACAGTCCATGTGCGTTAGGGAGGTCAACGGGTGAGTCAAACAGGCTGCATTTACCTGTCCTATAGGGAGATGGTCACCAGGAAGCAGTTGCATTAGGCAGATATCTGGGTGGATCACGTTGAAGAACTGGGAAGAAGCAGAAAACTAGTAACTGTGTCAAAGGTAATTGACCCCTGCTTCTCATATGAGAAAGTTAAACATTCAAAATGGATGCCAAGGCAAAATAAAATTGTGAGAATTCACTCTACTAGTGATGGCAGCAGCTGCTCCCGACGGCCTGCTGCTGCAGCGGGGAGGCATGGCCAGGGCTGCATGCTCTCTGGCAGGAGCCAGGGACAAGCAGGAGACCCACCCCTTTTGAGTTGGGGTGGGAGCTCCCTGGGTGCCTCTGAGCACAGCTGCAGATTGGGGCCTCCTGCTCCACAGAGCAGGCAGGAGCACCACCCACAGTGTGGCTGCAGATCTGAGCCTCCCTGTGCTATTGAGGGGCCAGGAGCAGGCAAAAGCCCTGCCCTCCTGGGGGCAGCTGCAGCCACCCAAACCACGGCTGCAGCCCCAGGCATCCCTGCACTCTTGGGGGCCCAGGAAGGCCCTGCATGCCACTGCAGGCTCAAAAGTGCCTGCTCCTGCTGCCTGGCTTCTCCCTGCTGTTGACACCTGCTCCATTCTTGGAGCAAAGTTGAGGCTGAACCCAGGCACCATGAATGGCAGTGGGAGGCAGACAGACTCCTGGGCAGAGGGTGTGGGTCCCCAGTGAGGCCCCAACTTCTGACCAAGGAGGGCCTGAAGGCTGGGGGTCAGGCTGTCAGCCCCATGAACCAGAGTAGGAACTTGTGGTGCCTTTTCCAAGGCTGCCCATGGCTGCCCCTGGACCAATCAGCAGCAGGCACTTGCTCCCCTCTGAGGCTCATAAAATCCCCAACTCAGCCAGAGCTGAGCAGGCAATGGGACAGCCAGCTGCAGAGAGGAGCTACCCTCTCAGCTGAGAGCTTCAGAGACTTGCAGAGATGTCAGAACTACCGGCTTCAGAGAGGAGTGACCCTCTCCAGGGCCTCCTCTCTGTTAGGAGCTGGGCAGATGTTAGGACAACCAGCTGCGGAAAGAAGCTGCCCTCTCCAGGGCCTCCTCTCTCCTAGGAGCTGGACAGACGTCAGGATGACCTGCCTACAGAGAGGAGCTATCCACTACAATCTCCTTTGAGCTGTTTTAACACGCAGTAAAGCTCCTCTTTGTCTTGTTCACCCTCTACCTGTCTGCATACCTCATTCTTCCCAGACACAGGACAAGAGCTCTGGCAAAGGTGCCACCAGCCACAGAGGTTTCTGGCCAGGAAATCGACACCCCAAAGGTCCCATAACACTAGGAAACTCAGAACTGTATTTACAGATCAACCATTGCAATTATTGCAATTATGTAGTTACTATTTATTAGTATTGGTCTCCAGTTGTTTTGATATCTTTATGTGGGTTCATCAATAGATTGTAAATTTAAAGAAAGCTATTATACAGAGCTCCTGACAGTGCTATTTAAAATAATATAGCTTCAGATAATACTGATAATTGACTAGGACAACTGCAGAAAGACAATCGTAGATTGTTTGGGTTATAGAAGAAAACAAAGGACCACCCATTATTTCTAAGGGCATTGAGCCTGATAGAAAAAATGCAACATAGAGGACTATCCCCTTCCCTGTTATTTGGGACTCTCGTCCTTATTTACAGTAGTCATGCAGATATCTCAGGTCTGTGACCAAGGTTGATTCTAAAAATTAATGCAACTGATGAACATCGCCATGACTATCACAACCTGCCAAGAACAACAACTAATAGCAAACTGCCAAATACCAGGAATTTAACAAATTCCATATCAAATCGACATGGCTTTGGATCCCTGCTCTATAATTGCTCCACTTTGAGACATCAGTGAGTTATTTAAATACTTCATGCTTCCACTTCTTCATCTACAGTATAGCTAATAGGTCTATTTCACCTTATGAATTCTTTTTTTTTTTTCTTTTCAGACAGAGTCTCACTCTGTCACCCAGGCTGGAGGGCAGTGGCATGATCTCACCTTCCGGATTCAAGTGATTCTCCTGCCTCAGCCTCCCGAGTAGCTGGGACTATGGGCACGCACCACCATGCCCAGCTAATTTTCGTTTTTTTTTTTTTTTTTTTTTTGTTTTTGTGGAAACAAGGTTTTGTCACATTGGCCAGGTTTGTTTCAAACTCCTGACCTCAGGTGATCCACCTGCCTCAACCTCCCAAAGTGCTGAGATTACAGTCGTGAGCCACCATGCTCAGCTGAATTCTTTATCTTCAGTTCCTTCACCTATAAAACGAGAATAATTATGCCCATTTATCGGGTTGATAAGTATGTAAAACCCTTGGCATCAAGAAAGGAATAGGAATAGCATAGAAATATTAGCTACCATTTACCAACTTCCTTCTCAGTCTGTTTAAGAAGGCAATTCAGTATCTTATTTAATGTTCAGGAAACTTTCACATTGGTATTACTATCCCCATTTTTATAGATGAGGAAACTGAGATTGAGTTACTTACCAAAGCCTGCATCTGGGAAGCCATGGAGCTGGAATTCAAATCCTGGTACGTCTGACCCCAGAGCCTATGTTCTTTCTCTTTTTAAAAAATCTTTTAATTTTTTTTTTCTTTACTAGAAACAAGGGTGTCACTGTGTTGCCCAGGCTGGTTTTGAACTTGGGCTCAAGCCGTACTTCTGCCTGAGCCTCCCAAAGTGCTGGATTATGTGTGTGAGCCAGGGGGCCCAGCCGAAGTCCATATTCTTAATTACTAGTTAGAACAGCCTTTCAATAAATGTTAAGGCACTCAATAAAATGGCATGACCTCTGGAATTCCTTTCTACTTTTCAATGAAAGGTTGTCAAGTATGGAACAGGAATAATGAGTATCAGTTTGGGAAAAGGTGGGTAGGGCTTGTTTTCTGAAATGAAAAGAGTATAGCCAGGTGTGGTGGTGTGCACTGGGAGGTTGAAGCAGGAGAATTGCTTGAGCCCAGGGTTCCAGGTCAATCTGGGCAACATAGCAAGACTCTGCCACTGAAAAAAAACAAAACAAAAAAAAGAAATGACAAGAGTGAAAGAGTGGAAAAGCTGGAGTGTTCAGAGTACTACACTCACTAATCTCCTGATCTGCTTCTACTTCTTCTACATCCAGCAGAACTGTGAGGCAAACAAACCTCCTTTCTTTAGAAACTACCCAGCCTCAGGTATTCTTTTATAGCAATGCAAAATGGACTAAGACAAGGACCAAATATTGCTTTCTTAGTATATCACGATATCATAAGCCACATGGTGGCCTTTCACTCCAAAAGGTCTTTTCCTACCTAGTCTGAGTACTTATCTCCAAATGGAGGGATTGGATGTCAAATCCAGAAAATCCAATCTCTAGAGCCTTGAAGGGATCCAGTAAGCCTCACCCAAGGACACTACCCCCAGAGAAAAGGTATGTTTGAAGACGCCCTCTCTCGCTCTGCCCTGCAGACTCCTTGGCCAGACACTGCAATCCGCCCCCACCAAGGTTATTGTAGGTCTCATTCTAGGTAGCAAGCATGTGTGCCTGTGAGCTCCATGACCTCTGGAGAAGAGCAGGCATTATACAGACAAGTAAAGAGAGGTGTAAATTACTGAAAGTTACCTAGCTAATAAATTACAAAGCTGGAACTCAAACACTGTACTCCAAAAAACTGAGTTCTTAATCACAACTTTCTTTTGTTTGCTTTTCCTAATTGATTGTAAGGGCTTCATGTTCCCCACCACTACTCTGACCCCCATCAGTAGGGAGTTTTATCAAGCTCTTCTGTTACAATTTCATTTGGAAATTTCACCCTTTACATTGGATCCTGCATGATCATGATTTCCCAGATACTGCTTCTTCCCCCTGACAATTCCATAGTTGCTGATTGTGTATACGTGCATACATGCAAATATACAAACACATGCACCATGCCCTGAAAATACAAACCTTCATCATCTCAGGATGAGAGGGATGGGGAGACTGGGGGATGAGATCAAAAAGGTACATGGCATCTTTTGGGGATGATAAGGATGTCCTAAGTTGATTGTATGATGGTTGCACGAACTCTGAGAATATACTAACAACCATTTACTTGTACATGTTAAATGGGGGGATTGCTTGGCATGTGAATAATACTTCAATAAAGCTGCTGCAAAACTCAGGAGATGGGATTTGGGATCCTTGAAGAGATGATTGATTGAGTGTCTGAGACAGAGAAAAACACTAAGTGAGATCAGAATATCTCCCTGTGCCAGAAAACACTGAGATGCTGCACAATTGACAGAAATGTGAAAGGCCACGGCTCGGAAGGGTTTCTACTGGCCTAGCCTGGGGCAGTTAGAGCATTGAAGAGACCCATGCTAGTAATTGATACAAACATTTAGCATTTTCTAAAGATATCAGTGAATAATTAAGTAAATGGATGGCAGATGGTAGAAGCCAGTTTCTCCCTGTTGGTATGGCAGAATACAGATAAGCAAGGGAAGGAGGACAGGATGATCTGTGT